TATGGGTGTGTGCCACCATGCCTGGCAAGAACACACTAATTAAATAGGAAAGTAGAGGGTATCCTTAAACAAGCCCCCCCCTACAAAGCCCACAAGCAGCTTTTGTATATGTATGCAAAATATTCTTAATTTAAAATACGTGGCCTATTTGAAATGCTAAGTAATGGCTACAGAAAACGCACGGGTAATATCCTTGTCTACCTTGTACCTTTTGTATCTCAAGCATGTCCAGACAAAAATTAAATTATACACTAAGCTAGAGAAATTTAAAAGGCAAAACAATACCAAAAAAGAAAAGTGCTTATTAATCGCCATTCAAGCAGTGAGGTGAAGCTGTCTGACACAATACACAGCATGGAAAAGAGTAACCTTGGTTACTGTTTCCAAGGACACTGGGCTCTTGGCTGACAAGAGCTGAGGTGAAGCTGAATGCAACGTTGCGTCATTTTGTAACTGCGTAGAAAGAAAATCAGCCCAGTGGCACCCCACACTCCCCAAACCCTCATCTGTGGTATCTAAACATTTCAAGTATTTAAAGAGATACTAAAAGTAATGAGTACTTTCCATAGCAAAGATTTTTTTTTTTTTTGTCCCTACTAAATTTTCTTCTGGTGCCCTATCATACTTGGTGAAGATAACTGTGATTATACTCGGGAATTTGTCCCAGGCATTCCAGAATAAATCTAGGAATGAAAGCCAATCTAACAGGTGCTTTAAAAAAATGTTATTGATATAGGGCGAGTGGTGGCGAACACGGTGGAGTGCCGGTGTGAGCGCTGCGGCGGGCTGTTTGTTATCACTGAAATCTCGAAAAGGCTCACCCACCGAATAGCCCACATAGAATTTCTAAAAGCTGTTTCAGCAAGACAAAGTTTACCAAGCCAGGAAGCGTTCTTGCTCGTCCTGAACAAGTTCGATGGAGTTTACAAGACCACTCAGCTGCTTGTTAGGCTGAAACACTAGGGCTGTCCAGGATGAAGTGGCCCCTTGTTACTAACACCCCACTATTCCTGCGGAGAGAAAAGGCTCCAGTGGCAAGAGTCAGCTGTTCCAATCATTAATAGCTGGAGTTGGTGTCATCTGGTGCAAATTAGAACATTTTCTTTTCCTTCCTTCCTTCCTTCCTTCCTTCCTTCCTTCCTTTCCTTCCTTCCTTCCTCGCTCCCTCCCTCCCTCCTTCCTTCTTTCCTACCTTTTAGACAGGTTCTTACTGTGCAGTTCAGGCTGGCCTTGAACTCAGTGGTCCTCCTGCCTCAGCCTTCCGAGTGCTGGGATTACAGGTGTGCACCACCATGCCCGGCATAACATTTATTTCATCAATGCTTCTTTTGCATTCTGGTATATAGCAAGGTAAACCAGAAGCCACATCAGTACCGGTTTAAAATATTCTAAACTTCATATTTGAGAAAATATGAAAGGTATAGGAACAACATAGAATTCCCTCAAGTTTTGTTCTCAAAGGCGAAAGTAATTATGTAAAAGCTGCACTTACATGAAAATCGACATCTTCAGTTATCAAGTAAAACCTAAATCTACATCAGCGAGCCTAAGTCATACAAAGTGAGTCATGAGCTTCAAAATCTCTCTGTAAAGCCTGTAACCAACAGTTCAGAGAAACATTTGCCCTCGACTGATATATTCTTCCTCAGAAATAATAGCCCTTAACCACGTGATTTTGTTCCCCTAATTTTCTGCATTCAGTTTAAATGTCAAAGAAAAATTCCTACACCAGAGTCCATGAGCTTTTTCCTTTTAAAATTTAACACTGTTGTTGATTTCTTCCCATGTTTCCATGGCATGTATCACTACCATAATTATACAGATGTCCGCTATTCTGCTCACTGGCTAGAGCGCACCTTCTCACCCTGAGTTAATTTTCTGGTCTCTCTCAGGGATGCTGCAGGGTCAGGCAGCGCTGGCTCCTACGCAGTCATCTTTGGAAGCAGAGAGGTTGCTGCAAAGAGATCGCATTCTGTGGCCTTTCCAGATTTTTTTTTTCCTGAGACAGGGTCTCGCTGCATGGTTCAGGCTGGCTTTGAACTGACTATAGCCCAGGCAGGCCTTCAACTCAGTGATCCTCCTGCCTCCGCTTCCCCAGTGCTGGGATTACAGGCGTGTGCCACCACGCCCAGCTGCCTTTCTAGATTTTGTTTAGAAAAGTGCCATGCTTCATACTAGCCTTTGTGTGACACAAAACAGGTTTTCAGCAAGAGCTCTGAAGAGGGATATTCACCTCAACGCACGG